CTCGGCCGAGAAACCATATGCCGGTCCGGAGTGCGGGAGATGTGCCCCGCGGAAATCAGAACTTATCAAACATCAAAGAAGTCACACGGGGGAGAAGCCATATTGCTGTGCTGAGTGCGGGAAAAGCTTTTCACAGAGTTCCAATCTTTCTGCACATCAGATATGTCACACAGGCGAGAAGCCGTATTCGTGCTCTGAATGCGGGAAGTGCTATCCACGGAAATCAGAACTTCTCAAACATCAAAAAATTCACACGGGTGAGAAGCCATATTCCTGCTCTGAGTGTGGGAAACGTTTTCTTCAAAAACAATATCTCAATGTACATCAGAGATCTCACACGGGGGAGAAGCCTTATTGCTGCTTGGAGTGTGGAAAGTGTTACTCAAGGGTATCAGAATTATCCAGACATCAGAGATTACACACGGGTGAGAAACCATATGCCTGCCCCGAGTGCGGGAAAGGTTTTCCACGGAAATCAGAACTGGTCACACACCAAAGATATCACACAGGGGACAGGCCGTATCCCTGTTCTGAGTGCGGAAATCGTTTCCTGTGGAAATCAGAACTTGTCAGACACCAGAGGTCTCACACTGGTGAGAAGGTGTTTTCCCGCCGTCCATGATCAGGTGGGTGGAGTTGAGGGGCGGGAACATAAAGTGATGGAACGCTCTGACATGTGGAGATGACGTGTGGACTCTACAAGATGAGATCTTCTATGTGATGTCACATCATAAATACTTCTATGTCACAGATGAGACTTTCTGCCGTTCTGTTGGTTTAGGGTGAAGATCTGATGAAGATGAAAGTTGAGGGTGAAGTAGAAGAGACGTATGTGAGGGATGATCAGCGATATACGGAGGAGGCCGGGATGATGAGGACATCCATAGAGGAGGACACGCCTACAGAGACCAGCACAGGTGGGTCATAATATATTCTTCTGTTATCCGGGGGAGGGGCTGCCAGTTTATACTCTGATCCTCTTATTTCTTAGAGGTCACATGACCCAGTGCCTAGGCTTGTGGTTAAGTGAGGAACATGCTCCTCACAGTCCCGCTTGGCCCCGCCTCTTCTGACAAGGCTGTGTCCATGTAGAAGTGATCTGGGAGGATGCCCTTTGACTGAAGAGGGGAGGAGTCCCGGCTGGTTGGGACCTCCTCATAGAACATCCGCTCCCTCAGACCTCCTGATCCAGATGGAATGTTGAGTGAAGTCATCTAACCCTCTCCTATCTCTCCGTCATGTGTCTCTATGTTTCCAGGACACGCCATGGAGGAACCCTCAAAGGATCGTCTGACTTTATCTCCAGGTTGTAAGATGGAAGATGAGGACGTCACAGCAGATTGTGCGGGAGAAGAGACAATGAGCTCAGCTATGGATGGTGGACGTCACAGTGTGGATAGACCATGGAATCCCTCTGACTCTGAGCGGCCTCTTCCTGTGGGGGATGGGGCCGGAATTCAGGGGGAGAAGCCATATTCCTGTCCTGAGTGCGGAAAAAGTTTTTCACAGAGGAATAATCTTTCCAGACATCAAAGGTTGCACTCCGGAGAGAAGCCGTATGCCTGCCCTGAGTGTGGAAAGTGTTTTTCACAGAAGTCCTATCTTTCTATACATCAGGTATGCCACTCGGGCGAGAAACCATATTCCTGTCCGGAGTGCGGGAGATGTTACCCGCGGAAATCAGAACTTATCAAACATCAAAGAAGTCACACGGGGGAGAAGCCATATTGCTGTGCTGAGTGCGGGAAAAGCTTTTCACAGAGTTCCAATCTTTCTGCACATCAGATATGTCACACAGGCGAGAAGCCGTATTCGTGCTCTGAATGCGGGAAGTGCTATCCACGGAAATCAGAACTTCTCAAACATCAAAAAATTCACACGGGTGAGAAGCCATATTCCTGCTCTGAGTGTGGGAAACGTTTTCTTCAAAAACAATATCTCAATGTACATCAGAGATCTCACACGGGGGAGAAGCCTTATTGCTGCTTGGAGTGTGGAAAGTGTTACTCAAGGGTATCAGAATTATCCAGACATCAGAGATTACACACGGGTGAGAAACCATATGCCTGCCCCGAGTGCGGGAAAGGTTTTCCACGGAAATCAGAACTGGTCACACACCAAAGATATCACACAGGGGACAGGCCGTATCCCTGTTCTGAGTGCGGAAATCGTTTCCTGTGGAAATCAGAACTTGTCAGACACCAGAGGTCTCACACTGGTGAGAAGGTGTTTTCCCGCCGAGTGCGAGAAATGTATTTTTCAAAAGTCAGCACTGGTCATACGTCAGACGCCTCACATGGGGAAGAAGCCACTTCTTTGTCCTGAATGCTGGAAGTCCAACCTTTTCCAAACATCAGAGACCCCACACAATCCTGGAGGTGTATTAGTGTACAGCGTGCGGGAAATGTCTTCTATATGACTCATCAGAGATCTGACGCTGGGAAGGCGCACACCTTGATATACACCTCAGAAAACACGGGGCTGAGCTCTCCTCTGATCTTCATAAGGAAATCGGAGATGACTAAAGACTTGAAAGTTGTGTCTGGTTTCCTCTGCTGGGGGCGGGGTCACTGCTGGTTGAGTCCCTCTAGCAGTGTAGTCTGATCTCCCTTCGAAGGAAGACATCGTGGTGAGGGAGGAGCTTGTGGATGAAGAGAAGGGGAGATCAGACTACACGACAGGACTGACCATGTCACTGCAGTAGGGATCAGTCTGCACAGGCAGCTCCATTGACTCGGAGGCCCCCTGCTGGTAGGAAAGTGGAACACACGACACCTTCAGATAAAAGTGGAAATCTATTAACAACGTTTTTTTCTGATACAAATAAAGAATACAAGTTCTTATCATCAAGATGTGAGTCTCTCCTTCAGAATCAGTCCCTGCCTTAAGACAGAACTCCTCCATCATCTCATATCCCTCTTCTCCCCATCCTCATCATATCTTTTCTACCTTTTGTCTACTTCACGTGACCCTGTTACCACAGACAAAGCTTCTACACTTTTGGCCAACACCCACTTGAGCTCCTGCCCCCTGGACCCCCCCCTAACCCCCCTCACGACTACTCCGGTCACCCTCTAGTTCTATCCTACACTCTCTCTCAAACCAGCACTGACGACCCCCATAGTGAATAAGCCCTCAGTGGACCCCATCAGTCTGAACAATTTAGGACCCATCTGCTCGCTCCCGTTTACCTCCAGACTTCTTGAATGCCTGGTCTTCAACCTCCTGAGCCGCCGCCAGACCGTGAACAACCGCAATGACCTGTTCCAGTCTGCCTCTTGTCCACAACACTCTACAGACACGGCCTTCCCTGCTTAACCCAATGGCCACCACTCTATACTTGTACTCCTAGACCTTCCTGGTGCCACAAAGCTGACCACACTCTCCTCCTCAACAATCTCCGCTTTCATGGCCTCCAAGACTTCGCTCTCTCATGGTTCTCCTCATACCTTCAGTGTCACTTACAATTCTGCCTCTTCCACTTTCCGTACGGGTCCCCCAAATCTCTGTCCTTGGGCCCCTTCTACGCTCTATCTACACCTCCTCCCCGGGTCAGCTGATCACCTCCCATGGCTTCCAATACCATCTCTCTGCCGATGACAACCAAATCTACCCCTCAGCTCGCCACGTCTATCTCCTCACCCATCAATAACAGATGACGCCTCAAAGATTCTAATTTACTCCCCTGTGATATATCGTCTCGACTACTGTAAGGCCCCTCCTTGTTGGCCTATCACTAAACAGGCTCCTCCCCCTTCAGTCTATCATGATTGCTGCTGCCAGACTCATCCACCTTACCAACCGATCAGGAATATCCCGTACACCTGCTCCACAGCCAGGCTAGGTCACCTAAAGTCAAGTCATCTTCTTCGGGAGCTTTCCGGGGGACAGACCGGGTTTTCCCTCCGAAGTATCCTCAGACAGGCTCCTCCCCCTTCAGTCTATCATGATTGCTGCTGCCAGACTCATCCACCAGGGACAGACCGGGTTTTCCTGCCGAAGTATCTTCAGATAGGCTCCTCCCCCTTCAGTCTATCATGATTGCTGCTGCCAGACTCATCCCCCTTACCAACCGATCAGAAATATCCCGTACACCTGATCCACAGCCAGGCTAGGTCACCTAAAGTCAAGTCATCTTCTTCGGGAGCTTTCCGGGGGACAGACCGGGTTTTCCCGCACTGTCACTGCCGAAGTATCTTCAGATATGGTGCAACCAAAGCCGAGAGCCTGTCATGTCTGAACCTCAGACTTCTGACCGGCATTTTCCCGGCATCACAGAAAAGGCCTAAAGCAAGACTGATGAATGGTCTCGTACACGGAGTAGGTGTACGGGACATTCCTGATGAGGAGTGAGGTCCCTGCCAACGTATTACCAAGACCGAACTTCAAAAAGACTCAAACGAAAATGGCGGAGTTGACCGTTCCTAGGCCACCATCCCATGGCCCCTACCCTAAACCAGATCTCGTGTCACAAGGACCCTCCAACATCCCATCTCCCCGATCTCTTCATCACCCCGGTCACAACCACTCTAGAACCCACAAATGGGGTGAAGGCTGAAAAACTGGCTATACAAGGAGGGGGGCGAACATCCATCGTTTGGTTACTAAGGGTGGCTAGAGGGGACATCCCAAGGCAACCGATAATATATTTATACCCCATGGTGGGAGTAGAGATGACCCGTCTACCAGGATATACAGTCCATACACACACAGCACAAGGCCGAGTTCACACTACGAGACAGGATTGCAGTTCCTCTGAGCTCCACAAGATGGTGATCTCCCTTATACCCTGACAGGAAGTGATGTCACATATAAATAGGAAGTTCTAGCTCTGAGGTGATTTTTGGAGGAAGTAGTTATGACCTCAGAGATCGGTGCCGTACACAGTCATTGGTTTCTTCTCAACGTGTGAACTGTTGTACGGTCCCCTCAGAGCCCAACTGAACCTTCAGCTCAATACGTTCCAGGTGCATCAAAACGCTTCCGTCCCATTCAAGTCTATGGGAGGATAGCGCGCAGGCTCTAGATCTTCAGCCGGTCTGCAGACCACGTAGGAGGTCACCACCATCGTTGGAGGTCGGTACAGACCTGCCGAGGGGAGACACAGCTCCGGTTGGAGGAGCCGGGGAGATGATTATGAAGTATTCTATTATTATAAAGAAGTCCTTGTAGGCAGACAGAAGAATGAGGTGGAAGTTGTTCCAGTTTCTCTGCACCGTCCTGTAGGCACACAACGATCTAATCAGGAGCAAAAGTCTTCCTCTGAGTCCTCTCTTCTAGACGGCTTTCTTGGCTCTGTGAAGCTTTTTCTTACCAAAACTCACTACAGAACTTTCTTCATTCTCTGATGTCCTTCTATGTGCAGGCTCCTACAGAAGAAACCTCCATCGATGACATGACCACATGAAGATGGACATGCACCAGGCTCAGATGACCGAGAGGATACTGAACCTCACCCTGGAGATCATCTACCTGCTGACCGGAGGGGTGAGGAGGATTCTGGGAGGTCACATGACCTGACCGGAGGGGTGAGGAGGATTCTGGGAGGTCACATGACCTGACCGGAGAGGTGAGGAGGATTCTGGGAGTCTAACATGATGTTCCTATTGGTTTCTCCATCCAGAGTTTTCCTCTTCTGAAGTCTGGTGATCATGTGACCATCACAGTGCCCCCATGTGACTCCCTAAAACCCGAGAGACCCGACATGGAGAAGGTTCTAGAAGTCACCAAGAAGATGATGGAGCTGCTGACGGGAGAGGTGAGCGGTGCCGGGAATTCTGGAACATGATCCAGGAACAGACAAGGGGCGTGTCTGGGTGGTGACGGGAGAGGTGAGCGGTGCCGGGAATTCTGGGACATGATCCAGGAACAGACAAGGGGCGTGTCTGGGTGGTGACGGGAGAGGTG